TTGCCACTTTCATTTGACTCCGTTCGGTATGCGACTTTTGTCATATTTGTTGCTTATACCCTTCCTTCTCTCTATTCCGTAGTTTGGCTGATAAGGAGGTTTGACTTTTCGTAACTTGATCAATTGGTTGGTAAGAAGGAGTGAAGACGTACAGATGATGATGTTTGCAGTCCTCTCCGAGGCTTTCACACTGAAATAGTTATTTCCGGACTGCATAGGACACACAGAGGATTCGTGTGTACTCAGTTTTCCCTTTCTCTCTCCCTCACAAAAGGACTGAAGAGAAGTGTGGGGAAGAACAAAAGAAGTGAAGCACTTTGCAACTCTCATTTGCTTCCTGAATACCCTGGCCTTTGTATTAGAGCACTCGTTCAATCGGCTGTATCTTGGGCTTACTTAAGAAGGCCACAATTTGGCCAATCTGCCCACAGGTGGTAGCAATAGCTGAGAGAAATATTTCCTTCCTCTACTTTTTTAATATAAAAGCCTTTATGTGCAGTAGACTCTCACTAATCATATCTCCTGCAAATTAACTGATTGTTACCTATTTTGTCTGCTCGATGAAAATTGTTTTCAACATTCGGTCAACCTTCAAGTAGCACAATTTCAAATCTCTGAAACATTTTTCTTAAGAAACTCTTTTCCATTATTAAAACTAAAGCACGAGCAGGACAATGCAGGAGCCTTTGGAGTTACTTTGTTTTAATTCTACGCAGTGATCAAAAGCGTTTCTGTCCACCTTGCAGCAAAAGCACCAAAATCTGGTGGAGAAAAGGCCAAATTTGCTCCAAATAAGAGGCTGCCACTTGTTAATAACCGACTCAGCAGGGTGAGGAAGTGGCTCTTCAGTGTCTCCAATCACCAAGAAATCATTACTGTGCTATAGTCAGCGGAAACTAAAATAGGGAATCACACAGTCATCACCTACACCTTTCAAGCTTGGGCCTCTCCTGCAAATTTCAGGCATCTCTCACTTCTGCCATACAATTCCTAATGAGCAGTATATCGCTATTTGGAGTGATCCCAACTTTCATACAGGTAGAGGAAAGCTTTGTGAAGGGAACGTAGGGTCCACTTTATTTTTTTTTGTCGTTGGGGCTAGAACCGGAATTTGAATTTGGGGTGTTAAGGACATTTGTCGAAGTTCAGACCCAATGTGAAGTAAAGTAACTTCATCAACGCTCCTTCCCTTCTCGTAATTTCTACCTCCAGTTTTAAACAGCCGAGTCGAGTAGATCGGCTGGAGGAAAGCATTTCATACGATGTAGCACGGTTGCATTACAAGCAAACGTACGTTTACTGGAGATTATTGTAGGTCTCCTCCGCCTCCTCCTCACCCACCTTGGGAAACGGGGACACCGGCTTGACCACGAAGCTGTTGTAAACTGATCTACTGCCACCTCAAAGGTTATATCATCTGATGAACTGACACCGTCTTCGCCTTCCTCCACGTTTCAACAAGTTATTGGTTAGGACTTTATCAAAAGACGTCGTGAACACTAACTACCTGGCAATTTAGGCACAGCTACAGTTATGGTTCGTTCAAGCATAAAAATTCAGACGAATACAACATGACTAAAGAAACGTTTTAAATTCCTCTTAGTGATTCCACAATTTTTTTCCACAAAATAATTGGCACTCTTGTTAGTCGCATCAGATAAGCACTTCGTCTGAATTCACCATTTTCTTGTCCTGCTTAGCATCCGCATTTTGTGGGGCGGTAATTTATAAAATGAAATCAAAGATTCTACTAGGCATGCAGTCCAGTACTCTCATTACCTACCTCTTTAAGCGCTATACCTAAGAATAAATCAGTCTTTGCTATACAGGGAGAGTTGATTAAGTCTATTTAATCCCTTCACCATATTGGCTGAGTTTAAATGTGCTAAATCATAAAACTTCATTATCAAAAATGGACTATTTTTTCATCGCTATGTCCAGTTGACGGCTTAACAATTAGCAACAGATTATCTTTATGTGTAGGTTGGCTTTTAACTCAGGAATTATCTAAGGGTTGAAAAATCAACCTATAAGAGATTTGAAGTTCATCTTTATTTAAGTAGTATATCCAGAGCAAAAGACAAAACCGCAAAATAGCCAAAAAGCATTACACAGTAGCATAAATCACTTACAAAGCTTCCCAATATTCGACAGTTATGTTTCAGAGTGGTGGAAAATTGCAAAGCAATATGAACGTAACTTTAGGGTGTGGGTGGGCGGAGAAGACCTTTCCATTGAGACAACCATAGAGGAGGAGGTGGGGGAGGAGAGAGAGGAGGACAGCCTCCCTATTTTACTTGATTCATCAGCTTTGGCGACCCTGATGTGAGCATAATGCCTATGCATGCGTATATTATACAAAATGACCTGTTCGGCGACAATTCGTGCGTCGATGAAGGCTAAGTAGTAGCAGCAGTAGTAGGGAAGGTAGAAATGTCCCCTGACATCACGTTTGTGGAAAGCAGAAAAATAATTACAATAAAAACGTTAAATTTCAGTTCTTCCAGTCTTACCAAGAGAACGTGTAGTTTGTTTATA